ATCTGATATTAATATAGTAATTCCAGCTTTCTTTTGGTTAACATTCATGTTTATTTCCTATCCTTTCACTTTGACTCTGTATGTCTTTGGTTGAAAAGTGAGTCTCTTGTGGATGGCATATAGTTAAACTATGTGCTTTTATACATTCTGCCAATTTCTGCCTTTGGATTGGAGAGTTTCATCTGTTTAAAGTAATTACCAATAAGGAAAACATCTGTCTTTTTTATTTTCGGCATGACTTATGGCTTTTCCTTCTTTAATACTTGCATTACCATCATCTTCTTTTGTGTTTAGTCGCAAGCTGTTTTATGTTTTGCGGTGAAATATTTAAATTATCTCTTTATTTCCTTTTGCTATTACATTCTATAGCTATTTTATTTGTGGGATTATATCTAATATTATAAAGTTATAACTTTCTAATTTGAATGTAAACCAGTTTAACTGCAATAGCTCAAAACACGGTGCTTTGACACCCTTTCAGTTGTTTATGCACAAAACTACATCTTCATGATTGCATGATAAAAAAATACAAAGTAATTTTTGTTTAAAAAATTAGACTGTTAGGGCTAGAGAGATAGCTCGGCTGTCTCAGTGCCTGCCTGGCAAGTGCAGGGACCAGGATTCGATACCTGGTACCTCCTGCCTTGCTGGCCCTGGAGCTCTGGGTGTGCCACGCGGGCCACCCAAACTGGACATGGTTTTAAAGTGGTTCACAGATTCACATTCTAGAGTGGGAGAGCAGCAAATAGCCTCTCCTGGCCGGAATCTGCACTGAGGCATGGGCAAGCTGTGCTCAGGGACACCCTGTCAGAAATTCCAGGTGCCCCAGTGGAAAAGTGAGTGTTTCATCAACAGGAGAGAGTCCTATTCTAGCCAAAGTGAAAAATGAAGGACAAGTGAGCTCAGGGCTAAGAAACTCTGAACATCTACTTGTGTTCTGAGAATATATTGTTTTCTATGGATGCAAATGGCACTCCTCCTAATGACTTATTCTGAAGTTTCAGAAAGGTAATTATAGATGTTTATCACTTCTTTGTTGATTTAAGTTTGAAAAACAAGACTCGCTTCAGAGATTGGTGATAATCATAGGAAGTTACTGATGCAAACTTTTCTTCTTAACAAATGCATACATAGGACCAAAGGACCTGAGTCTTTGTGATGCATTACTCATGTCACACCCATTTCAACTTTCCTACTAATACCTATATCACAATGGCTAATCAGGAAAGAAGACTTACTAGTGGAGGTAAGGGAAGAATTTAACATCTATCTCAGCTTTTTTCTTGATCATAAGCACTACAGGTAGTGTGCCTTGCATTTTTGTCACAGCTTAGCTATTTCAACTTATGTATTTCTTTAGTTTTTGAAACTAGTGAGAGAAGTGATTTATTTGAATTTAATTGGCAAACTACATTTTGAAACCTGTCTTTAGCAATATAATGTGTGCTCAGTGGAGCTATCCACAGAAAGACGGACATGTGGATAGTTGCCCAAAATGTAAGCTGAACTTATATGCCTTCTTTTATTTTTTTCTTTCTTGTTTTTCTTTTTTTGTATTTAGTACAGGGTCTACAGAGTCACACTGCATAGATCCAACTTGCAGTGATTCTCCTGTTTTCATCATCCCAAGTGCTGGGATTATAGGTGTGTGCCACCACGTCCAGTCTCAATCAATGACTCAGTGTGCCCTGGGGGTGGGGCTCGTGCGTCTGCCTAAGCAGGCACTTTAATCCACTAAACTATCTGGCAGTCCCCCCTTTTTTTTTCATTGTTTGTGGCTTAGGAAACCACACAACAATAGGGTATAAAAAGGTGAATCTTTGTCATAGGAAGTTGATGGGACCTAGCAAGGGGAAAACGTGGGATCTCCATTGTCATGCCCTCTTTGGTCATCTTTCTTCAGAAGTCACCTTTTGCTATAGCTTGTCATGATGATTGCACCAAAGTTCTAAGAATTGTAAAGGCTTTCACTAACCTTTTAAAGACTCCTAGTCAAACTGTTTTGGGCACCATCAGAGGGAGGCATAGAAGTAGAGGAGTCTAGTACCATGTTCCTAACGGGCTAAATGAGAACAGATCTCACATTCTGACCCTCAGTTTCTGAAGGGTTACAATGTAAAAATTAGGCTGGTAGAACTGCATCTGCTGAGGCATTGTAATGAATAAATTCAAAGTAGAGGAATGGTTCTTTTCTTAGTGGTGAAACTTCAAACTTGGCACTTTGGAAACAGCTTATTCCAGGAAAAGTAATTAATGAATGAGTACTGCATCTTTATTTAGATTTCATACAGTGCAGACTTATGCAGACTAGAATTTGGAGAAAGTTCTCTCCTTTTTCCAGACATCTGATGTCAAAAGCCCTATGTCTGGGTCAGGAAGATCTTGACAGTACTCTATGTATTGAATGAATTTTAATTATAAAACAAGAACCCTTCTTGAATAGAAAATTTTAGGCCTCAATGGTTTCCCCGGTAAATGATAGCAAATATTTAGATGAGTGATACCAATCTTACCCAAGATTGTTAAGCAAATAAGGGTGGAGGAAATGTTTCTGAAGTTGACAAAGATACTTAACAAAAAATAGAGGAAAGAAGTAAAAGGTGAAGTTAGAGTTCCACATGATCGTATGTAGAAAGATTCTTAACCATACTTTAGCAGTCACATAGCAACATATAAAAAGCGTAATTGACTCTGACTAAGCAAGCCTTATCCCAGAAATGGCAGGTTTATTTAACATTCAAAAATCATTCACATAATTAATAACAGTTGTTTATGTGGTTGCTAACAAAACATGGGGAAGAAACCATAGAATCATATCAATAAGTATAGAAAAAGGTTTTAATAAAATTCAGTACCCATTGATGACATTAATGTCAACCAGTTAAAAATAAAAATACTTTTACTGAATCTGATAAAGATATTCTACAAGTGACCTACAGTTAATATTATTTATACCTAATGATAAAAGTGGGTGAGTGTGGTGGTGCACACCTCTAATCTCAGCACGTGGAAGCTGAAGTAGAAGGATCTTCATGAGTTTGAGGCCAGCCTGGGTTCATATAGTGAGTTAAGGCCAGGCGAACTTCAGAGTGAGAGCCTTTCTCAAAACAACCACCACCACAACAGCACAAAAAAATTATGAATGCTTTCCCACTAAAAATGGGAATCAGGCAAAGCCTTTCTCAAAACAACCACCACCACAACAGCACAAAAAAATTATGAATGCTTTCCCACTAAAAATGGGAATCCACACATCAATTCTAATTGGTATTGTATGGAGATTCTCACCAGTGAAATAAACTAAGTAAAATAAAGTATATGAAGTTGAAGGATGAGGAAAAGTTGTTTAATTTGCTGATGACATGATTAAGTATAAAATTTCAAAGACTATAAACAACTACAGTATTAATTTCAAAAGGTCATAAAATATGATTACAACAATAAATTTTTATATATTGTAAAATAAATAATTGAATGAAATTTTAAACAGTTTTATATGTAATAACATCATAAAATATTAAACACTATATATCTAAATTCTCTTAATTCAATGAGTAGAGAGATTTGTTCTAATAGTGTTTGTAAATAGGATATCATGTCTGCGTCTTGCACAACAAATAACAACTAGGAAGACAGTATGCAATGTGTTAGTTATTGAAACTGTCCTACTAATTTGATTTTAAAAAAAGAAATTAAGTTTTAATTCAGTGATTTAATTTGTCATTATAATTACTTTGTACTTTTCTTATTCAAAAGTAGAGCTTAATTTTACATTCATTTTCACAATTACATGTTATCAGTTATTTGTACTTAAAATCTTACATTAAATGAATCTCTCTCTTTAAAAAATTAAAAAAGAATTAAATTATGCATATTCCTAAAAATATTAAATACTTAGGGACAACTTTTTCAGAATACCTGTATAATAAAAATTACATTAAGAGAAGTTAAATATTTAATTGAAGAACTATTCCTATTCAGACAATATCAAACTATTTTTTATTTAGCATTTTTTACTTTTATTTATACATGTTTGTAGTACATGATTACCTTCATCTTGGGGAGCTGGTATATGTACATGACATATATTAATTCTTTTTTCACTCTTTTTTCTCCCCTTCCTTCCTGACATTTAGATTCAACATAACAATTAGAATTCCAGCAGTTTTTATCTATGGTGCATAAAATATCATATACACATATTTATCTAAAATTTATGTATTCAGATTATCCAAAATGTTTTTGAAAAATAAATTTGGAAGAATCACAATATCTGATTTTAGAACTTACTCGGAACCTATGATGAAGAAAGGAAAATATTGGTGATAGCTAGACATAGATAGAACACAATATAGAGACCAGAAGGAGATTAATGCATATATAGTCATATGATATTCTACAGCAGTGTCTAGTTGGTTCAATTAGGAAAGAAAATTTTCAACAAATGATACTGGGATACCTGGATAGATAGATGAAAAATAAATTTCAGCTTATTTAAGATGAATTATAGTTTCACATATAAAAATACCAGCCATTAAAATTTTACAGGAAATCTTCAGCGACTATTTTTGCATTTTGAAAGCTGGCAGATATTTCTTAGATGAGATACGACACAAACATTAAAGATAAAAATGACTGGATTTTATTAACATTCAGAATTCTCATCAACAAAATATTAAGAAAATGAAAAGAAAAACTATAGTCTGGGTAAAATATTTCATACAAAGAAATTTGTCCCCAGAATTTACATATGTATATATTTTGTTTCATGTAAACTTATAAATATGTGTATAGTTAGTATATACATATACAACTTCTACAGATCAATACTAACAAGGGAAATCAATATAAAACTGATGAGCTATATAAATGTATATGTATATATACACACACATAAAGCCACACATAAATTCTACAAATCAGTAAAGCCTATAAATCAGCAATAAAAAGCAACTTGACTCTAGTTATGTTCTACAGAGATCAGAAGGCTTTCTAGAAAATCACAGGTATATTCTTGAGGAGTCAGAGACATATTCATGAAAGTGCATTTCAGGTCTGTCCTCAGTACTGGCATCTGCCTTCCTGTCTGTCCTTACCTTTAGCCCTCTATGAACCCAGCTTAGAATGATATCCATTGCCCTCCTCAACTTGGCATTGCCTGAGATCAGGACAGCTGCATGTGCAGAGGGACAGACTGCCATCATCCCAATGCAGACCATCACCCCAAACTTGTTCTGCCACAGCATCAGTAATGGAACAGATACGAGAGCTGCAGAGAATGACACCACAGAGAAACAGAGGAAAGAGACCAGAATTACGAGGGCTTTGATGTGGGCCTCCAGGCTGGGGTCCTGAGAGCCTCTGGTTTGGGCCTTCATTGTCCTCATGTGACTTCCCAGGGAGACAATCAGCAGTCCAGAAGAAATCAGAAACAATAGGAAAGGGGGGATAGACCCCACATTGCAGAGGAGAAATGAATAAAAGAAACTGAGCTTTGTAATTTGTATATTGAATTCTGTATCGTTCCTGGATAACACAGCTGTGAATGCAAAGCGAGATCTACTAAAAAAGTCCCACAGACAAACAACAGTGCAGATGCAGGAGAAAAGAATGGCACCCAGGAGCATCTGGGGGAGCTTCCTAGAGATCCAGCTTGCCACACAGAGCAAGAAGGTGTGAGAGAAACGAACAATCTTGGCGCAGTAGAGTAGGCTGAGACAGGTGGTGAGCCAGAGGCTGATTTGGTTTACAGTCATCCAGAGTATGATGATGGCTTGGTAGTTGTGGCTCAGTGGATCTTTCATCTTCTGGAAGTAGATGAGATGGATGGCATCCAGAAACAACAGCCCATGCAGGAAAATCCGTATGAAGCTAAGGCACAGCAGCACAAGGTCAGAGTTGCTCAATGGCTGCCTCTTTACCACATCCCAAAAATTTACCAAGAAAATGAATGCATTGGTTAGAATCCCCACTGCGAACTCGAGAATTGAAAGGGACAGAAATGCAATCTTGGCTTCATAGGACACAGTTAAACTGGGAGTCAGAGTCCACATGATGCTTGTTCTCTAAATGATCTACTTAGGATCCAGGCACCACCAAGTGGAGAAGGCTTGGAGTTGGTCCTGAACCAGGTCCTCTCCTTTAGAAAACATCCGGCTCTTGCCCTTGCTCTGTTGCAAAGTGGGTACACAAAATGCGCTTGCAAGGAGCTAAGGGGGATGTTGTTGCTTTAGGATGTGTCTTGGATACATGGGAAGTCTTTTCCAAAGCAGAAGGCTGCTGGTCATACTTTTGGGATGACACAGAGCTTTTAATAAATGTAGGTGCTGTACAACAGCCTTCCCAGAAGCCCACAGCATAGCAGCAGGGATGCAAACAAGATAGGTTTCAGTTTTCCAGGCAGACAGGTCCAGTTTTGCATGTCCATCTGGACCTGTTGGTGGGGGATGGGGTGGAAAAGAGAGATTTTCAAGGAAACTGACAGGAGGCAAAACAGGTATCTTAGGTTTAATTAGGCTTAGAAAGGAAATCCCATTTGCATTCCTTGAAACATCTCTGTATCAGTCAGTGCTAACTAGGGTAAGCTATAGAAGAGTGTAAGACATCTGTCGGCTGCTGGAGACCCAAAGGACCTAGTCGAGGGCTTGGAGCCCACAGCAGTATGCTGTGCAAGTCTGAATCAGGCAGCTGAAGGATCCATGATGGGAGGCTGGAGGTTGTGCTGAAATGGCCAAGGGCCAACGCCAGAAGTGTAAGCATCTGTGCCAAAAGGCTGAAGGATCTGAGCCACAGGGCTGAGGCCTCTGCACCGGAAGCCAGGAGAAGACGTCCAAACTGAAGATGAGGATTGACACTTCCCAGAAAAGGAAAGCAGCAAAGCTCTTTTAAAGAAATACCACCAAAATGCTCCTAAAGACAAGCGGCCACAAGGAAGCACCTTCAAGGAAGACCACCTGAAATTCTCCCCACTCATTTTCCTTGTGTAGTGTGCAGCATCCTCACTGACTCAAATCACTTGGGCTTTCCCACTCACCTTGACAATTAGTCAATTAATTACCACAACTTCCAAGACTTGACTCTTGCCATAGTTTCTGCTTTCGTGTGGATGAGTGACTTGGTTCCTTCTCTGGCACCAGGGCAGCCCTGAAGTTCAAGTTGTACTGCCAAATGTTTTACCCAACTGTCATTGCTGCATCAGCATTGTGCACAGCAAGAGAGGTATAGATGCGAGTGAGACCAACACCTCTTGTGAAGGAATAGGGAGGCAGGGAGGGGACAGTATGTGGCCTCACTAGCTTGTTTCCCACAAAGCAATAACAATGATCCTGAGAAAACACAACTTTATTTCATGTTATTACTTTGTTCAAAACTGTCAGAACTGCCAATCTCTTCCCTCATTTCTTCCCAGATGTTGTCTGTGATACAGGCTTTCTCCATGGACAGAGAGCCACACAGACCCTCTCTGCTCTGTGAACTTGCTAAGCACTGTCCAACCACAGCACCTTTCACTAGCACTTCCCACTACCTGAGAAGACCCTTATCTCATTTTCTTCTTGAAAGATCACCTTTTCAAAGAAACCTTTGCTTGCCATCCTTCACATGGCTTCCCTACCACGTGTTGCTGACTGTACTACTTAGCCTATTTTATGTTCCTGTATGTATTTGATTACCTACTGCCTGCACCCATCTTTCCCATTTAAGAAACAGAATCTTTATGATAACATTTATTAGGTACTCTACATAGTTTTGAATTAATGCCATTTTCATGAAATTAAACATTTGGTAGTCTATAAAAACCCCATGGATTGTATCTAAATGTTATATTTTTAATACTCCAGAGATTGTGTTCTAACAAAAATGGTTGTATTTTTTGAAGTCTATGTGTCTTCTCCTTTACAGGTTTTCAGGTATTTATTAACCTCTGGCTTTTCAGCATATGTAATTCTCCTTGTTTTCTCAAAATATGCATGTTTCATAATTAATCAAGAAAGCTCTATAAAAATTCAGCATTGCATCAGGAGAGTCTAATGACATTTTTTTTATTGTCTCTTATTTTCATTTATTGCCTTTTTTTATAAACAAACGTTTACTTGAGAGACAGTATATCAGAAATTGATATGACATTAGAAGCAGTATGTATTTAGAAGACCAGAGTGACAAGCATTCCAAGCAATGCTATCTTTAGTGCAGTTGCTTACTTCAGGCCTAAAGGCCAGCAAAATAGTTCAGCAGACTAAGTACCTGCTTAGGCAAGCACAGGGATCAGGGTTCAATCCCTGATACCGCATGCCGTGCCAGCCCTGTCCCCAGGTACCCTGAGCCGGCCACTGAGACTGGGCATGGTAATCTCAACACTAGGGGGACTAAAAACAGGAGGATTACTACAAGTCTGATCTGTGTAGTGAGACCTGTACCAAGTACATTAAAAAAAAAGTTAGTCCTGCTTACTCAATAGAGACAGGAGAGCTGATATTTGGAGATTGGGTGTTGTTTTTTAAAATTTCTCCAATTCTTATATTTCTGTTGCACCCAATTCTTGTGTCCACCCTAGAAAGGCTTTAGCCCCTCTACTTCTTTTAGGTTGCCCTTCACTCTTCACTGACTCATTTGTTTTATGAGATGAATGAAGAGGAAAGAAGTTGAATGTCTCTGTCTACATTTCTAACTCCTGTTGCTCAGGCCAATGCCTTGCTGCCTCTTCCTGCTAACTCTTCATAGCCTCCTTTGGTTGTTCAGTGAGCTTCTTTGTTGCCAGTGTGGGCTCTGGACCCCTTGAGCCAAGACATGGTTGTGCCATTTTCCTTCTTTTTGATGTTTGGAAAGTTGTACCCTTTCATTATTTCATATGAAATGGAGCTGATGAAGGTGACACCTACCTCAAAGTATTGCAGGTTTTACCTGAAGCAGCACACATGCAATGCTTGGAAGAGTGACTAGTAATCATTCCCATTGTTCTCTAGAGTTTGCACTTTGTCTTTATCATTCTGTGCTGTCTTGCATATTCATTGAAATATTTCTTAGTGCAAGAGTTACCTGTGATGCTCTAATTTTTCCCTGTGGATATTTTGTCATTTTCATGTTTCTCCCTGACTAACCCTCCTTTTTTACTTATAAGTATTGATACAAATTAGTCATTACTAAAACTGCTCATTCCTATTTTATTCTGAGCTATAGATATAGATAATCATAGAGCTTTTCACCATAATCATAGAGCAGTGCAGGTATATTTAATTCATTGCTGCTGTCTCATTTGAGTCATTCATCCTTATAGAATGCCAATCACTGAGACATTGAGATCTGTATTTTTCAGTTGAAGCTCATGTTTGCCTTCTCTTCTTCACACCAGGTGGCACTACTGTACCAAACACATGTAGGAAGCATTTCCTTCCTTAAAGGTTCCAGGTGGAAACCTCTTGCTCTACTGTAGATGTAGAGATAAGTAACAGCAACTGCAAGTGTAGAGGTAAGTTCCACTGCATGCGCATAGTTACAACAATTTATATAAAAATTCTAAGTGTTGTATCAGGAATCAATGAAATCCATGATGTGTATTGGTGTTTTGACTATCAAACCTTACCATATTCTTTCAATAATCATAGGCCTTTTCAGAGACAAGTAGCGCAAACCCTCAATGATATTCTCCTGCGTACACCAGGTACACATTATGCTTGAGTATTTCTAAATAGTCTCCTGGGTGTGTAATTTTTAGAAGTTGGTTGATTTGGGGGAAGGTATTTCACTCAAAGGCAAGGAAGAGCAAAGTCGATTGGAATGCTGATGAGAGGAGTGGTGGGAACCAAAACTGTTTAAACAGACATAATACAGCATTGCAGCTACTTTAATTCTGCAAGTAAGCACATGTTGAGAATCTGTGAACTACATAACTTTGTGTTTAGACTTTTGCTGCCACTTACTTTTGGGTGTGAGGATTTGAGTCTTTGGATTGATTTCTTTCTAGCATTGTTATTAGCTTGACAGAAGAATATGATTATAAGTGATCTCAAACCTCAGTCCATCAGGGTACCTTACAATTGTGTTCAATGATTAGATAGGTAAATACATTAAATGTATTTATTAAGGATAAAATGTATTCTGGCTATTGTAATGGCACTGAAGACACACTACTAAACAAACACATTGGAGGAACTGAAAGAACCCAGAAGCCATACAGTTCAGGTGGAGAAGGAAGGGGCATTGCCTAGAGAAGCTCTAGATAGCAACAGAGAAGTGATGCTATGATTGAGAATTCAAGAATCAGTAAGAGAACTATGTATTGCACAATAGATGGAGACATCTTGGCAGGGAATTCTAGTGGCCCTAAAATTTAGATAACATGAGGAAAAATATAACCTAATGGAAGTTAAAACGCACCAGAATGCAAATAATAAGGTTTGTTGTAATCTACCCTACAAATATAGGAGCATGAATTTTAGAAAATTAGCATGTTGATAAATAAGCTATCAAAAAGATGAGCTTGGGTATACATAATATTTTGGGGCCACAGTGTATAAAAATTAGAGATATATAACTGATTATAGATATTTGCAGGTAGCTAGAAATCTTGATTGACTTTTCCCCTGCACCTCTGTAACCTTTGCACCTCATTAGGAATTCTTTAAGAATCACATTAGAGACAAAGCACTCAGATAAAATGGTTATGAACTAAGGCAGAGACACAAGGGCATAAAGGTCACTTCTCAACCTACCACAAAGTTAGGGAAACAGGAGTGGTTTTATACTCATAAAATTGCATGCATACGTACCCATTTTTTATATTATTCAGTGAGCCTAAGAGTTGCAAGAGCAGAATATAGCTGTCCCCCTATGGCTTCCTTTTCAGGAACTAGGAAAACTCTGTACTTAGAATCCCTGAAATCTGGAGGTGTGTTTGAACAGAGCAAGAGATTCTGAGGGAGGCAGGGTTGCTGTAATGCATTGAGCTGGCCAGCAGGACCACACTGTCTACATAGAAAGAGAGGGCCAGGGCACTGCTGCCCCTGGGAGTTAGCTGCTCCTTGAAATGAGCAACTCTTTTGAACTGTCTTGGTCTGTA